CTCATTATGTTGTCTCCCCCCCCCAATGTGACTGAGGTTCATACCACTCATTAGAGTTCTGGCGTCGCTGTTTGGGGATTTGTCTTAAGTTAATTTTGATTATGGAAGTTTTCAGTCAAAATTGTCTGACTTTCATCCTTTCTTTTAACAAGGAAGTTACCACTCAGACTACTAGTTTCCTGTCTCTCTCTTAAACTCATACTGTAGAAAGCTTATTCGGGAGCTAAGGTGAAATGATGTACGCGAATACTCCAATGCATATGCTATATCTAATACTGCGATTTTAAATGCTGAAGTTGTATTTTATATATCATTTGGCATCTGTGTTAATTAGACAGTTTGTGCTTCATTGGACTGTCGTATATTTTTGCCGGAATTCTCATTTGTGTTAGTTGAGAGACATTTTTGGGTCAAACTATTGTGTTCATGGTGTTTGATCACCGGAAAACCTTACGTTTGAAGGATTACAATGCTTATCCTATACGTTTTGTTTAGCTGAACAATCTTACAGTTTTTCAACAGTCTATTTTCAATATAATTCTATATAGAACGAGTTTGGTTTTAGGTTTTTGATCTTTTCGAAGAGTGAAAGTCCGTAATCGGCGGAGGTCATTTGTGTGGCGCCTGTAACCACCGAGATTTATACTTAATCTGCCGAGGACTTCAAAGACTTTCATGAAGATGAAAGCTCAAGCCAACCTAACAAATCTCATGTCGTTCCTAGTCATATAAATTGGCAGGAAAGTCTGCAAAAGCATTGAAAAGTTTCTAATATTTGGTCCAGTATGAAACTCTTGGAAGGCCTGAAGAGCACTTTGTTAGTGTTTTTCCGTTATCACTGAAATGCAGAACACAAGGGCACTTTTAGGATTTTCGCCAAACGTTTCGATTCCCAGCCGTGTCTGATGTGCACCATTAAGAAGTGATCATGGACTGTTTGTAAAAAACCAAAGTGATAAGCCGAGTGATAATCTCTGGACACATAAAAATCATTCCACTGGTATAAATCAAAGAGACAAATGGAAATTGGAGACAGATGTGATGGAGTGACTTCTGAGATGTTTCCCTCAATTTTTCTGCGAAGAAATATCATACTTATTATTCCCTTTTGACCTAAAGTTAAGGTGTTTCCCTTTCCTCTGATCAATATTTGTCTATGTATTCTATCTTCAGTTTGTATTTCGCCGGCTTTCACTGAAAATTAGTTCTTGCACTACCCGCCTTGCTATAACGCCTTACCAAAATTATGGATTTTCTGAGCAGTCACTGTATGATTCCTCCCCCTGATTGTCTGCCAGAAGCGTTTATCAGCATTAGGGCTCTTTGAAAACAGAACGTAGTAATCTTGCATAACGAACATTTTAATTGATCCTCTGGCTTTTATATTGAACCACAGAAAACTCCTACTTACAGGCTTTCATCAATACCTCTGTCACTTCAACACGTAGTTTTGTTTATACCTATCAAGAGATGCTATTTTGCTTCGGCCCGAAAGAATGGAATATAAAGTATAGCTCCAACGGTCTTCCTGCCGTACCAGGTTTGATCATGAGCTCACACCACTTCAAGAGCTACTGAGGGGCCCGGGGGTTATGGACAGCTACTTCACCCTAGTTTGGGGCTGTTAGGCAGTACGAAACCAGTGGGTTTCCAGCCCATTACCTTCTAGTTACAGGGAAAGCGGGCAAACTACTCAGTAAGTAGTAACTAGTCTAATGGCCCATGAATTCCTTCTGGTAATTTGCCACAAACGTGGTGAAACAACTATCCAGTGTCAATGAGGCGTAATAATCCTTCCGCGAAAATCAATGGACTCCTCCGGTTACGACTTCTTCCTAGAATTCCAGGTTACTTCATGCGTACAGCCAGTATTCGCTGACCATCGGATTAAATTTCAGGTTTTGACTTGCGAGGATTTGACTGGTTACATATTTAAGCATGACTTCGCATCGATCTGAGAACCAATGGGAAAATGGGCAGTTGTCTATTCGTCTTCGACCAATCAGTCACTCATTCGTGCCACAGTCGGTGAGATTCGCTGAGGAGTCCTAGCCATGAATGAAACAGACGTTTAGTGATCCCCGGCTTTACAGTAGTTCTCTAGGTAATATCAGCCTGTTATCAAAGCTGTAAATAATCAAATCCCCGCAAGCCAATGGTTGAAAATGATTACCGACCCTTTGGATCGCTTGTAGGGGTCAGCTCAACTACTTCAGACCCCACCACTGATAGAGTGCAGTTGAAAACATTTCCCTAATGGTTAATTTACCTGTTCAAATTTTGCAGGTAACAGGGAAAATAAGTAAACTTGGTATGATTGCTCTTATGTCAGTATGCACCGACTCAGAAAGCTTGCTTGCTCCAGCAGCTCCCCTGGAGGTTTCCTATTTCACCGCACAGCTTAATAAATTTCGGGGTACTTTCTCATTAATTCCACAGTGTTGTTTAAATGTGTACCTAAATATGTGAAAAATATTTTGCAGGATTTTTTAAAATTTAATTTTTTATTTCAAAGTGACACTTACCCACGATTCGCCACCTGGCTGTATCATTACAAGCAGTCTGTATTTGACAAATGTGCATGTCGCTCAACAAACTTCCTGGGATTGACTTAGATGGCTGCTTCAGAAGAATTTTCAGTATCTAGTGTCAACTTCCAGGATGGAAGGCGCGTGATCGTGCATGGTTTTGTCAGCAGTAGTATCAGTGAAATTATAGTGTAGAGTCTATGTAACACAGAGTATACGAAAGGCGCTGTGGTCACTTAGAGGGAGTTAGTGACTGAGAAATTCAGAAGGAAGAGATGAGTAATCGTAAAAACCATAACCTCCTCATTGTTTGTGAGGTTCCATTCCTCAACTGACGGGTACTGAATTATGAGTGCGCATCCGTTTGCTTGACTTGGTCTCGCCTAAATTATCCCCCAGTGTACAAAAGAAATAGGTGTTCCAAATCAACTACCTTCTCTTATTGTGGGATTTACCAGTCAGCGAATTTGGCAGTTAATTCGATCCCGAATTCGGTTGCTAAAGTGCTTTAAGTGTTTAAATGACGTGTGTACGGGAAGCCTTGATTTCACCAACTAGGTGGAATTGGTAATACCAGGTAAATGATAAAAGGATTCTAGGGAGTTTGAGAATATTTCTTGAAAATGCTGGTAAAACGGTTGCCAGTTTCTCCTTGTTTGAAAAATCCCCTAGTTATCATAGTTCAGAGTTCGGCAGTTGTTGGCAATCATTCTGTCTACGGCCACTTAAGAATTTCCACATTTTTTCTAGCAGGATGGGTGTCGGTATCAACCGGGATCACGATAGTGTGGAAAATACACTATAAAATGGAACCGAACATGACTTATGTGGACGGTAATTTTGTTTATAAAATACATACAAAAAATTAAGGGAAGAGAAGATATGAGAAGAAGGGAAGGCTTCGTTTGAACAATGAAATTTAACTCCTATGATTATTTTAGATTTATGAAAACTGTAAGGCACCAAGGCTCCTCTGACTTCCAGTTCGGGGATTTTCTCTATAATACAAGTGAGCAAATAAGTCAGAGTAAAGAAAGCTGTAGGGTTTTAAGGACCTATATATGGGGAGATATGGATTGCTTGGAAACCTGATTGCATTAATGTAACAATTGAAGATCTATCCACCTGATCAGATAAGGCCCTGGGTGACCTCCCTCGCTGGTGTCTGTTATCTCAACTGGGATTTATGGAATGCAGTTTATATCCATGGGATATAGACTGCCAGGCACCTGCATAATTAGACAGCAGTTACAAATTAAGGTGTCACGTTTTTTGTGACTGACACAAGGACAATAGAAAGTTCGGGATCGGCTTCAATTAAGCGCTTGACGTGTTGAGATAGACAATTTGTCTTATTGCCTCTTTGTTCTTCGCTGAGAATTAAAGCAGCATAATAAAGGAGAAAGCCTTATCAACGTTGGCTGCAACACTGGGCCTTTATTATTATTATTTTATTATTCAGACTGAATGGAATTTCTTTAGATGAACTTCAGACTGCTATCTCACTTAAAGGTCACAGATGAAACGTAGGTATTATGTAATAGGATATGCTGAAACTACTATATATTTTGTAATCAGTTTTTATTATAACTTAAATCCATACAGTTTTTCGTACAATTATGAAATTTTCAGCATGTGATATCTGTAGCCCAAATTTAACAGGCCTACCATTGATATTGGCTTTCAAGTGGTCGGGGATCGAATTGCAGACTATGTGCATACTTGGCGACCGCCACTGGCGCAGAATAAAGCGACTATTTTTATTCCTCGAGCAGACAAACTTAGATAATATCTCATTTCCAAATTAGCAATTATTAGAAGCGTTCAATTCATAATGTTCTGCGAAACGGTCATGTCCACAAAGTTAATTACTTCGACAAATATAAGGTGAATTTTAAAAATAAGCTCAGACGAATCTTGTATACCTTATTACCCCACCGGTCGGTACTCTACCTCTATTATAAGTACATATTTAGATGAAGCGAAGAGTTCAGTTTGCTTGCGGAATATTTTAAAACTTGTCTGGAGAGTACGGCTGAACTATGAACTCAGTGTCAATAGATATTAGTATCTTAAGGAAGAAGCACAAAATGACTTGTGGGCCAGTCCAGATGTTCCTTATTAAAACAAAGCTTGAAAAAATCTAAGGCATCCGTGCGTGAACCAGAGTTTGATTCGCCTAATTATAGGTTGACTCAATTTTTACGATTAATTTGGACTACAGGTTTATTTTGGTTGTTGTCGGTCCACTAAAGCTTCCTCAAATTTAGGACTCCAAGTACGTTTTTCACGTCTCAACAGACAAGAAATTTCATTACAAAGGCGTAGGTTTCGAGAAAATGAAGTGAAAAACAAAGCTGAGAGTTCTGTTTCGCACCCTATCTTCAAAGTATTCCGTTTTGTTTGAATGCATTGGTTCAACCTTGTGTCTATGCTTATAGATTTTGAGCTGGTTATGAAATATTTTCGGGGATGGGGGTCTTTAGGTCTAAAAACTCAGGTCATTTGTCACCAAAATCTATACGTCTGCCTAGTGGAAGTATTTTTGACTGTGGTCGAAAAGTAAGGTTTTCGTACTTAAATTCACTATATTGCAGGTACTAATACATGAGCCTGAAGACTTACGTTATGTATGTGCTCGATTAAATATCCCTGAAGATGAAAAATTTTTTATTATCACTGAGGTATAGATATATTAAAATGTAAACTTTTTGTAGCATGATGGAGAACGCTGCTTGATTCCTATATTCTATCCTCTGCATCCCAACATTCTAAACTACAAAACTTCAAAGTAATCGTTATAATTTTTATTATTGTACGACCAGACAATTTATAACATATCATTTGTGTGAACAGCTTCACCTGAAACGTATCCAGCTGAACAGTCCTCAGGATTGCTCGGATGTTAAGTTGGTCAACGATTTCATCATAGCCAGTAAGTCCGATTGTTATCGTTCATCTCGCAATCCTTTTAATAGAATTATCGGGCAAAGTTTGTTATGTTTGCTATTTACTCTGTGCCACCTTGGGTACTTCTGTATGGCTTGTTCTTAACTGATCTAGTTATTATTCTCACTAACTGTATTACTAGTTATTGGATGTAAGTGTTTTGCCAGCTAGTGGAAATCCGTTTTCCAGAAGAAAAAAACTTTTCTGTTCTTTGACTCACTGGTGATTTTCAAGTTGCTCAAGCCTTGCAAGAATTCGTTTTATGTAGACTGTTGACTTAATTGATTCGTTAAAATACAAAGATTTATCTTTCGGGTAGACCAGTGACGACTATCTGTTCGAATTTGTAAGCTAACCCTAACATTTGGATATGAGTACTTGCCACGAAGACTGCAAATGAAATCTGAGTCTTAGGGTTTTAGTAGAAAATTATTCATAGCAACAGATATACCCAGGATAACAATAACGTGTATGTTATAAAAGGATAAACCTGCGAAATCTCTCTCCAAATGCTCTCATACTTTCAAGGAAATTTGGCTAAAATACAGGCGAATTGTTACACTCAGTGCAGTCAGGTGATACCAAGATTTCAACTTTTCTTTAATTATGTAATCCTAAATATCGCCATTTTACTTATTCTTTCTAGATAAAAATCAGTTGAATACCAGTGAAGAAGACTCTAAAGCTCTGTGAGTATACATTTATCCAGCGCTAGTGTTTGGATTTTTAGCCAAAACTATTCAGTCAAGTTTTGGAATACCTTTATAGCAGTGTAATTGTACTTTAATATTATTGGCCGAATTGATTCCAGTTCTTATTTTGATGATAGTGTTGTCACATCATCAACTTAATTTTTTCTGGGACTGGTTTCCAACGTTAATCTCAGTGTTATTTTTGACATTAGGAATATTTATAGTTCAATTCGCAAATGTGTGTAATTACACCACGATCCTCTTTGAGGTTATTGATGGCCTTCCATTTTGTATAGCAATAACTTTTGAAGTCTTAACGTAGTTATGTGAAAAGCTCCTGGAATTTCAAGTTGGCATCGATAGAGTATGCAATGCTTAGTTTTAAAGTGTTTTGAATTTATTTTGAGAGAATTGTAATATGTGACTTTATGTCATAGTATATCTATCAAAGTTCTTCAAATACAAATCTGAAGCTTAAGGTTCACCGAAGTAGTGTAGAGGTAAGAAAATAGAAGAATAAAAATAAGTAGACCTGAGATGAAATACTTCTACGCTTTTAAAATGGAGATAAGTTGTATCATTTACTACTTCTGACCCACATCTTGCTAAGGAATTGAATTGTCAAGTGCTTATACGTATTGCGCTATGATTTGGAATGTAACTTTAGAAGTTCCTCATAATTACACTAGCATGCGCGTTATGTTAGGAGAGCACAAGTAGTCTCATATGTTTCGTAATTTCTATAACTCTCGTTGCATATATTTCATATGTTGTATATAGTTTCACTTAATGTTAAAATAGCAGTCGTAAAGGTGTAAAACTACAGTGTGGTTCATATACTTACACACGACCTTAAAGTTTACCCCAATCTTTTCATTTCATTTAAAATTTTTGATCTTTGGCTTACGTTCACTGGGGTATAAACAATATTTCCTCGTAAGAAATATGATCATTTCTGTTTCTAAAACTTAGGAATGAACTTTTGAATTCTGAAGAAATGGTTACACGCCTGTTGAGCGTACTCCTAAGTATTCCAGAACTTACTACACACCTGGTACACGTGAAAGTAAGTGATTAGTTTTAACGAAGTTTATGAAATTTTGGTAATAAATTCGTAGTTTTTACTTTTTTATATTGGTAGTAAAAATGTCTGTATAACTATCAGTTCTTACATATATACGTCTGACTAGTCATTGTGTTAGGTAACCGCACTGAACACTAATTAGGTGCTGTCATAGAAGTTACTTGTCCATACAGCAAATTGTGTTACCGTTTTGTCCAATTAGCTTTTATTTTGTATATATTACCACAGTAAATAAAAATGTGTTTGTCAGATAATGTTTTATACAGTAATGTATAGCTGCAATTAAATATCTCGACTGTTATGTACTTGTCATTTCTAAGTGTTCATTTCACTGGTCTCAGTTGGTTGTTAAGGTGCAAATTTTTTCTCTGTCTTCAGCGATGTAATGTTAATTCTTTCTTATACACACACACACACTAATTATGCAACTATACCGGTAATTCTATGTTCTTGAGGTTCATTTTTCATGAGTTTTGCGGACGATTAGTGCAAGTAAAAAACGTGGTGGTATTCGTGTCCCATAAAGGCTTGTAATTTAGCTAACAATAGTAAAGTTATAGATTAAAATGTTTTTCGGTTGACATTCAAATAAGCGAGTGATTTAGCATGAATGATTTTTTTGAGATGTATTACATGTGATCAATGATCTAGCATGTCACTCTTTAAAAGGTCTACTCTAGCTCACTGACGAAAAATAGTTCAGTGCTGATCAATGACTAGAACAAAGAAGATTATTTGAGACTTCATAAAGAAATCAGTTTCTAGTGATAGCTAAGTAAACTCATCAGTTTCGATGTGAAATACCTGAGAAGTAGTCATTGCGGCCAGTCACTCCTATGTGTTTCTTAACTGATAACACTTTATGTTTAAGTAAGCACTTAGGAATGAATTCTTTGTGACAAAACTAAAACATTCTATTAGTTCTGCTGGTATTTGTGTTTCCACAACTGCTGATGCAATTGTTGTTACATTGTTAAGTAAAGTTATTACAATTCGGTCTTTTAATCGTGGTCACTTGAGAAAGAAATTGTCCTTAAAGTTAGGGACAAGATGCTTCGTAGTAAGTGTACCTGATAATCCTTAAGAGGCTAAAGGTATTGGCGTTCATGGATAGTACAAAGTATACTAACACAAGACATAATACCCACAACTTCTGTAGTATTCCTTCCAATCAATGGCAAAGCAAAACACCAGAATTAACCGTCCAAATTACGAGTCATATTTCGGGACCAAATCGGAGTGCGAGATGATTGCTTAACTAGCTAGGGATGGTGCACGAACGAACGAATGTGACACGATGGCGCACCAAATGGCTTGAATGCTTGACCGGAAGCCTTCAGCTAAACAGTTTGACTGGAGCAGTGAGGGTCAGCATCTAATGTTCAGTGATGAATGCTGTGGTCAATAATTCAGGGTAATTACCTACCGCTACAATCCTATGGAAGTCTTCGTAGTACCATTTGCATGATTTAGCCAACAAAATTGTAGTTTTACAAATTCACTGTAAAATGACATTATCATGCAGTATTTTCCTTCTGAATGCTTTCTTCAAACTCGCCAAGTGGACAGTATCTAATCTATGTCCGAATATTGGGGCAGTTATATTCAATTTCCGGACGTAGACCTTATTTTCTAATCTGTCTAAAATTCCACTATTCATAAATCGCGTTATTTTTCTTTGTTGAATTAAAATAAAATAAAATATTAAAAGAATTGACTAAAACAATAGAATAAGTAATGTTAACTAGTTATGCTTGATGAAATGTGTATAAAAATTTTATTTATTGTAGGATGATTTGATAAAAAGGTCTTGGAACTCTAAATGAGTTTCATGAAGCTGCTTGATAACAGTTATAGTACTACTGATGAATTCAACTCTCAGTATTGTTAGTACAGTTTTTGTTACGCTAGTAAATAAAAATAGTTAATGCATCGGGGACAATGCGATCAAAGCTACACAGCTTTAATGGTTAGTGGCGTTGTCTGTATTACTTATCGACAGGTTGAATTGTAAACCTCCTCGTGGTAACCTGAATGTTGTAAATCGTCGAAATTAGGAACATATTAAGCAAACAAGTTGATACACTTGTTTTTATAAGTAATTTTCGATGAAATCAATAAAAGATATGTATTTGCTGATTTTTGTTGTTGTCTGTAATCATAAATCACTGTCCTGTTCGGTAAATTCCGCCTCCGACCTTGATACATTCTAGTCTGATTAATATTTTTAGTCTGTAGCCTTTTATTGCATCAAAAATGTTAGTGAAATAATTACTTTTTTCGCCTACTAACCATAACTTTTGTTAAAGAAGCTGTGACTTAGCGTAACATTCATAGTGGAATTATTCTAAATTGTTTTATAGTAACTGGCTGCATTTGGTTTATTGTTGTTCCCTTGGGTTCTCAGTGGAACTTAGGCTTGAACAACACATCTCCATTATGTAATATTCTTTACAATCCTCTTTAGCTGGCTACACGACTGCCTATCGTCTCACACCTGCTCCTCGCACGATTTTCTTTATGTCACTCTCGGATGACGCCTCACTCGTCGTTTCCTATTCGTGTCCCACTGGAGTAATGACTTGGTGCGCGATGTTACTCGACGGTCTTCTCAGTGTCCTATTGATCCATCTCCACTTTCTTCTACATATTTTTTGAGAGATTGGTTATTAGTTGGTTCATTCCCATAGTTTCTTTTTGCTAATTCTTTCTGGCAATATGATCTTAACTATGAAGCAAAGACAGCTGTTGATAATAGTCTGCTTTTCGTGATGCGTCAAGTTTCTGATCCAAATAGAAAGACTGACTTAATATTGATGTTGGAAATCTGCATTTCGTTCTTTCTGCTGATAGCAGTAGATTTCAAAGAGATGATAGTCTGTTTTGTCTTTCTGACTCTGGTCTTGACATCTTTATCACTGTCGTCTCGGCATGAAACGATACTTCCGTTGATAGTGATTAGTGCTTGTTGTGGTTGGTTGGTTATTTTCATCACCTCCGGCTTCTCTATGTTCACTTGTAGTTCTCTCTTTACTGCTTCTTCTGCCAGTTTGTTAGTTTTCACCTGTAAGTCTTGAAGTTTGTGTGACATAAGACATAAATTATCCGCGAAGTCCGGATCTTCCAGAGTCTTCCGATTGGTTTACTGTGATTCTGTCTTCTTGTTCTTCACAGTCTTCTACATAATCAAACCCCATCACAAATAACAATATCATCTATGGTTTATTGCAGTGAGAAGAAAAAGACATTTGTTATCTTCTGATGTTTATGATGCCTTTCAACTAAAAAGAAAAGAGTTATTTAGGAAGTTCAGATTATCTTTGAACTTCCACAATATCGTTTTTTTCCTTAAAACAACATGAAACTAGTTAAGAAAAAACAACCTAGAAATAGAATTTCAGTAAGGTGTTCTGAATTATTCAGACCACTTTCTAAAGACTAGTCACTGAATTGTCTGGGATAGGATAAATGTATCAGAAAGTAATAAAATTAAGTGGAGAGAAAGCTGAATCATCAAATCCTTGTTCATCAAATCAACTCCAAGTACAGACAATAGAATATCACGCCATAATTATCCCGGATGTATAGAAAATTGCCATAAAAACAGATAGTAAGAGTGTATCAGCCAAGTTAAGAAGTTCTGTGAATACATTGATGTTTGCTCTAATCGTCATCCAATTATTATCACTAAATTACTGCATAGAATAGATTTATATCGATTCACATCGTACTAAAGTGGCCAAATTCTATATATATATATATATATATATATATATATATATATATACATATAGTTTCTGTTATTCATTTTTATTTGAAATTAGAACACCCCGTTCCTGATGAAAAAGGGATTATTATTAGTAGTAGTATGATTATCTACCTCTGACCTTATTAACATGCCCAGTTTTTTCTAAATATTTCTCTATAAGAACAATAATTCACGAATAAATATGCAAGCCTGATATAGACAGATAAAAGCGTGCAGAAGTTGTCTTATGTGACGCTATGCGTTTATTTGTTCCTGTTGTCTTTCTGTCTTGCAGTCCAACTAGAGGGATTTTTCTTTTCAATAATTAATCAAGTAGAATTAAATCAAGTTAAGAAATCGTGTGGTAGCTCATAGAGCAGTCAGCAGGCTTGCCGTCCCATGTGACGATGTTGTCCGGGACTTCTATGTATTCATATTATTGTTTCCTTTAATTCAGCCACACGTTTACATTAGGTTAGGCTCTCTTTCAGCGTCTCCACCTGGCTCCACGTCTGCCTACATGCTTTCCTCTTCCCTTCACATCACCTCCTCCATGTCACCCTCGCACTGACGACCAACTCGCCGCTTCCCATTCGGGTTCCATTCGAGGGCCTGTCTAGTGATGTCACTTGATGGTTTTATCAGAGTATCACCAATTCACCCCCATTTCTTCCTGCATATTTGTTCCTGGTTAGTTCGCTTCCAGAGATCCCTGTTGCTGATCATTTCTGGTCATCTGGTCTTAAGTATTGTGCAGAGACAGCTGTTGATGAAGATCTGTAGTTTGTTCAAAGTGCCCTTAGTGACGCGTCAAGTCTCTATGTAAGACCCAGTCAACACGTAATATTAGCTTATTTAGAGTTTGGGTGGTCCATTCTTTTACTAGCCGTTAGACATCAGCAAGTATCATTTGACATCATAGTTAACAATAATCGTTCGGAAGTAAAATACTGTCTACATAAACTGTGAAACTTGTTGACATGGTCTGAAATAGTTCACAGTGATGCAGCTGTGTTCACTTCTCATCCTCTTCGTAATTCTGAATATTTTAAACAATATTCATAGAATTTCTGCCTTTTCTATTACCCTCCTTTTTATTCATAGTAATATCTCTCTTTTTTCTTTGCAACAGTGAATTGTTGCTAATTAATGGATGAGTGTAATACTGCATGTTGATGTATCCATCCGCCTCTTTCGTTCAAAATAGAGTAAAGTAAATATACACTTACTAATG